CTTCAACCTGTACCATGTTACATACCACATGCCCTTTCCATAACTAATGCTTCAAACGATTACTACTAGAATCGCACTCAAAAGAAGACAAGGTTAAGTTGGCATAATTTGTCATATTCTCTTTCAGGACTAGAGCCACTTCTTCATCCTCTTCTAAGTCATCATTAAAACCTGAATTAGAGCAAGAATTCTCCTCTTCTTCAAGTAGTATCACTGCTATCACCATCCTTTTCAATTTCCACTAGCTGGATCAAATTTAACACTACTTGAACACTAACTTGAATCTTGTGTTTGAAATTTCCACTTCAAATCCTCATCAAGCCTTTATGATAGTATTGAGCAGCATGAACTTGTATCAACCAAGGTCAGCCTAGAAGCAATGGATAAGTTAATTCACCAAGACTCATCCTAAGAATCACAAAATCCACTTAAAAATTTCAGCATTGCTACACCCATCTTCACACTTGTAAGAACTCTCAATGGCTTCACCCAACTTTAATTTACCATCCTAACATGGCAATTCACTGGTATAGGAACTCTTAAGCCAAGCTTAAATGCCATCTCATCTGGAATAATATTCCCTCCACTCCCTCCATTCTCTATGAGATTGCATTACAGTAGAAACAACCATTCAAAGCTCTAGAGCTAGCTGAAGTAACTGAGCAAAAGTAATTGTTGGTTTTTGGTTGTCCAAGTCCCTCAAAATATGCGAAGGCATAGAAAAATTCTTTGCATGATCACAACTTTGTCAAAGAAAGTTCTTGAAGACAAGATCATTAGAGAAAGCCATATTTAGCCCATTTGTTCTTCTTGCACACTATAAATCCCTTTCTCTCGAGCTTTTGCATGAGCCTAGACTATTGGGAGTGCCCATTTGAGCATTTTCTATCACTATAGAAGATTCTTGCAATTACAAAGATGGTAAGCATGTAGCTCCAGAGCGATACATTGGCACTAATCTGTATATGAGAAGCTCATCACAAAATCTTGGTTTCCTCAATGTGACACTAGAATACAGTAGAACTGCATGTTGAGCTTTTTGGCTGTTACCTCCAACCTCACCTGAATCTTGTCCTGTTCAAAATCCCCAATTGACAAGTAGATCAGCTCTTCATGAAGGATCCTTTTTTTCCAGTCTGTCACACCTAGGGCAAGATTTCACCACTCAGTTTCCTGCTCCAATTTCTTCTTGCCCTCAAGATGCACACTTCCACTGCACTTGATCTTTGAAATCAATCTTGAAGATAAATCTTGTTCTTTCAACCAATCATCAAGTAGCCCATTGGATCAATCTCTGCATAGTCTAGGCATCCATAGCCCATTGAGCGGCTTGAATCTGCCCACTAGGGAGCACAAGAGCCTTAGTAGCCAGCTTGATACAAGTTCTTCTCAAGCCAGCTTCTCGCTAAACTTTATCTTGTGGTAATGGTTTGAACTCATAGCCACCCTCTTACCCTCTTGTAGCATGTTAAGTGCATGGTGTCTTGCTTGAGGACGGCAGAACCATCATCATGAGAGTAGAGCAGTGTGCTCCAAATGACAAGACTTTTGTTGCTGCTCTTAAGGCATGCTTTGGTCTAGCAGCCAAGGATGAAGGTAGTAAAGTGATGATGGTTCGTGAAAACAAGAATGCTGCCATTCATCTTTGAACGGCATGGATCTCCATTCTCAAGCTTCAAACAGCTACCAAATAGATATATTCATGGCTAGTTTGCTGATCGATATGTACGCTAACTACAAAAAAGTCTCAAGCTGTTTTTGAAAAATGGCTGCAACATGAGTTTTATTGATGCTAGGGGTAGAAACTCGAGCTCAACCAAGGCAGCTTCATCATCTCAGATAGTACCACTAGCACTCATAACACCACAGTTGCATCTAGTTCCTATAAGGTAAATGGTGTATTTGTGCCCAACACCAGTCACCCAATGGTGTATTCTGGGTAGCATTTATGAGCAAGCAATGTGCACACTATTCATGATAGTGAGGTATTGGTTCCAAACACAATCAGAAGAAGATTGAATTGTTGTTTTCATCATGGCATGCACAAAGTCAAGGAAGGCTCAAGCCCAAATTTAGGGTTTATTTTGGCAACTGCCACTTTTTATTGAGTGATTACATTGCTTATAGTTCATTTAATGAAATCACACAATCTAGTGAGAGTTGAATAACATGTTGTCCAAGAAGCATAAATGACACATGAGAATATTAACATGATAGATGTTTTCTCAAATAAGGGAAGACCCCACAAAAATCACAATCACCAACAAAAAATCATCAATTGTGTTGTTTATGGAATTCTTTTAGTAATATAGATCTTTAAACCCTTAATTGCATATGTTCTTATTATCATAAAATTGTGTCAGTGATAAAACATTGTCAAGATATGGCATTTTCTTTTATTTTTCTAATATTTAGAGAGTTGGCAGAAGTGTCAAGATTCTAAAGAATATTCAAAAGAAGGATATTCCAAGAGTTCATGATAAGAAGAAAAGAAGTTAAAAGAAGTTAGGGAAGAGAGGAGAATGATAAGTGGAGCTTGGCATGAGTTAGAGAGGTAGAACAATGGAGCACAGCATAGAGCTGATGTGGTGATGTCAAGTATTCAAGTGTGGTGTAGAGCAAATGAGGCTATCTAGTGAGCAGCGAGTGAGTACAATGTGCCTGCATTGTGGGCAAGAGTGGATTAAGTTGCTAGCTGAAGTCTTGGCTGAATTGTTAGAGGAATAGAAGCTTTTATTCCTATGTAGCTCTTTGAGTATGAGTTCAGGGTTTTAGTTGAGCTTCTAGTTGTCATGTTTGGTGCCTCAGTTGGGAGTTGCATTCGTGAGCATTGAAGCTTAGAAGGCCAGACTTCAGCTGCGGAGTAGTAGCTTGTGCATGCATACAACAATAAGAACAAGTAGAAAAAGCTATAGAGGATATTCTTAAAAGGGAGAAATCTAGAAAAAGACAAAGAAGGAAAATTTAAGAAGCGCCAGCAAAACAATCCAGCATCTTCAGAAAAAACCACCATAAAGGTCACACCAGACCAAGGAGGAAGAGTGGGGATATTATCAAAGTTCTCCACAACACCAACAACAACAATCAGTTATCATGCAACAATACCACCACCAACAGTTACTAGCTAGATGAAATATCCTATGTATGTGATATTTGGTGATCCCAATAAGCATATCACCATATTCAAGAACGTGAGCACAGCCAATAGTGAGCAAACTTTGCAATGTTGAAGGATGTTGTTGTGGAGTGGTATGCAGCAGCAGTGACAAGAGCAACTTTCACTAATTGGGCCAATTTAAAGAATGCATTTATAAATGTTTTTTGCCTTATAGGATTTCATCAACAAGTGAGTGACAAGCTTAATGTGATTACCTTGCTGCCAAGAGAAACTATTCAATGGTATGCAATGAGATTTTGGCAACTCCTCTCGAAGAAGGATCCAAAACCTGTAGAAGATTGTCATGTTTGATATTTTTGGCAAGGCTTACTAGAGAGCACATCCTTCTTTGTGCAATGCCATGAACCAGCTGATCTTGACACAGCAGTCACTTTGGCATCACAGTTTGAGCACCAAGTTGCCAAGTCATCCTAGACATGTTCAAGCATCATTAGTCCTTGGAGGAATGGCTACACAGCCAGTAAGCTTGCTAGATCATACAAATTTAGGAGTCTATCCAGGTAGAGTACTTGGAATTTTGAATCCAACGAGTGTGACAGCTCCAACTTTGATCCCAGCAGTGGCTCTAGTGGCTCCCATGCAAGTTCAGGTTCCAACTCCATCACTAGAGGTGCAGATGAACAAGGTTAAAGAGGATTTAGTTGAGGCTCTTACAAAGAAAATGGGGGACTTATAAGTTAATTGGATCAAGGGTGTTCAGAATCCTCCGCAGCCAGTGTGTGATCACTCAATTGTGTAGTGTGTGAAATGCAAGAATTATGGTCACTATCCAAATGAGTGTCCAGTCCAACAAGTGAGAGTAAGTTGTCAATTCTATAGCTAGATTAACCATGCATTGGAAAATTGTTTCTATCATCCTATGAAAGCACAAGGACAAAAGCACAAGGACAAGCAGTACTTGTCTATCAGTAGCAGCAGCTTTATATGCAACGTGTGCCTCCACCAGAGAGTTTTCCATAATTGCAAGTACATGTGGTTCCAAGTTATCATGTTCAAATGCAAACTCCATCACCATATTAGCCACAAGTTCCATACCAAGAGAATTCAATGCAACGGTTTGCATCCAGAAGTGTTCTAGTGTAAAAGTTGGAGTGCAACAGCAGCAAGAAATGGGATGTGAAAGAGGCCGTGGCAGAGGTCCTCAATGCTATAAATGCTGGGAGTTTGGTCATATTCAAGCAAATTATCCAAATGTAAAGAAGCCAGAAGATTACCAACCAATGTGTGGAGTGTGTGAGACTCAAGGCTTCCATCCTCAAGATCAATGTCCTCACAAGTTGAAGTAGGACTGTGGCAAGCAAGTAGTAGATTTGAGAGCTGTGTTTGTTCAAGAAGCAAAAACCTAGATCACACTCATTATAAGCTAGGCACTTCAGTGAATATTCTTAAGGATTCAAAGTGGACAAACTCTAAGATTTAGATAGGTGCCAAATGAAAGGTGGTGGGGCTGGATTCCCACCCGCGATGGTCTCAGTCTAGCGCTATAAACATGCAAATATATAAAGGAGAACCAAACGCCAGTCCAATTATGCTCTACAAAGTCTGCATCTAGAATCTACCATGGAATTTTTACTCCCTATATATTCCTTCCACCGCCAAAATCATCCACCCAATCAATCAAAATCAATGCTTGTAACCATAGGAAATACTTTTGTATTGTTTTTCAATTTGGTTGGCCGGTGGCTGCCTGGCCACACATTCTCTGACACGTGCCACGCCACAGGGAATTAAATCACTTTGCCATCATGACATGGACAAAGGTCCCCGTTAAACCGGATTAAAGGCCCTTAGTTTTTAACCGGCTGGGGGAAGAACCCTAAAACTAACCTGGAGGTGGAAGACGAAGAAGGCGGTGAGAGGCGCGTGCTTGAGAGCGAGAGGGGGGCAGGGAGAGAGAGAGGGAGAGGGGAGGGCGCCCTGGCCCTAGCCGCGCGCGCGGCGATCGTTGCGAGAGGCCGAGAGTGAGAGAATTTGGCGCAGCATTTTGGGGTGTGGGGTTTCCAGGAGCGCGAGAGATTTCCTCCAGATTTTGGTGAGAGGGGCCTCGGATTCCTGGTAGATGAAGCCGGGAGGGAAGAATGAGAAAGGAGGCTACCATGCCGTGCCTCCACCGCCTTCACTGTATGGTCAGTATCCGTTCCAGTGCCAGCAGCAAAGCCCGGTGTCCAAGCCCCGGACGAGATCTGCTGGAGGCACCGAGGATTTAGCTGCCAGGGAGAGGGATCGAGATCGGGATGGGGAGAAGAAATTTCGGAAGAGGCCCAGTCGCAAGTCCAAGCAGTTTGTTTCTCCTGACAATGGATCAGGTAAGTTTTCTTTCAGTGATTCCTCGTTGTTTTCCTTTGACCTTTGTGGAGAGCGCATTCTCATCTTCTCATCTCCTTTAGTTGCAGGAGTGGAGATTTTTAAGTCGTGTGATGAGAGGGCGTCGCCGACGAGCAGTCCGGTCTCCCCCAACTTTTCTGTCCAAAGATCTAGAGATTATCACGTCGTCAAGACGCTCTACAAGAACGGGAAGTACTCGGAGCTCGAGTTTAAAGAGTTCACGGAAACGCTGCCACCTTATGGGCCGGCTCTCAACAACAATCACGACCAGCCGAGCAGCAGCAATTCCGTTGCCTTCGTCAGTCCTGGCAAAGGCGCAAGTCCGCTGTCTACACGATTCTACGGTGATACAGACACCAATTTCCAGTTGATGAAGGATCCAGTTGCACCACAGATTTTTCCAGAGCATTGGTCGCTTCCTAAAGTAAACGAAGCCATGCAGGTATCCGCTTTTCTCCGTTCTCTTCGCTCATTTCTGGTCTTACGCATTATGTGCTCTTTTCGTTCAGTCTGGGCGTGTTTTTTCTTGCTCCTTGAGAGTAAATGCTCACAACCGAAGTGAGGTACGTAATCCTTCCATTTCTTTTGAGGTGTATACGTGATCATTGTGTGGTTGCCTAGGCTTACGCCACAGTCGACGGACTTTCCGTAGATATCTTGATCGAGGGAGCCTGTGCTCAGAATCGTGCAGTAAGTTCTTCGTGTTAGATTTTTCCTTCCGAGAATTGACCTGGTTTTTCGTTTTGCAGCTTGAAGGGGATTTAGTTGCACTTGTCCTTGATCCGCCTAATTTATGGCCCAGGATGAAGGGCCTTAACAACAACCGGACTGATCGAGTGGTAACTGCGAGTAGTATAGCTGTGACAAATCAAAGTTTCAGTAGTGGTGAAGGCGTACAGGTTTCTAGAGAGATACGTCTAGAAGAGGAGGTAGTCATAGAAAGTGTTGGAAGAAGCAACCAGGTTGTAGAAAGTAGTGAGGATTCGAGTAGTTTACTGACAGGCACGGGGTCGACGGCGCTAGAAAAAGTTCAGGCATTGCTCCAAGCTACACCGGGTAAAAGGCCTACTGGGAAAGTAGTGTCTATCTTATCAAAGTCTCGCCGGCGTGATGCGGTGGTCGGATTTCTCTCTGTCAAGTTCCAGCCGCCAACGAGAAATCAGATGGTTCTCACTCCAGTTGATGCCAAGTTTCCGAAGATGGTGGTTTTACCTGACAGCCTTCCGGAAGTTATAGCTCAAAGGTTGCGGGACGGGGATCGTAAGATGGGGAATGAGCTTTTAGCAGCGTGTGTTGATCGCTGGGACTGTAACAGTCCTTATCCTCTCGCGATCATCACACATTGCTTGGGACAAGCTGGGGAACTAGAGGCACAGACAGCGGCTATTTTATTCGAGCACGCGGTTCACAGTGCCGAGTTCCCTCCGGAGGCGATGGCTTGTCTTCCTCGTGTTCCGTGGAGTATTCCGGAGAAGGAGCTACAGAGACGAAGGGACTTGCGCTCACGTAGAGTGTTCACAATCGATCCAGTCACTGCCAGGGACTTGGACGATGCACTGTCGGTGGAGCATCTTGGGGATGGTTTAACGAGAGTTGGAGTACACATCGCAGATGTTTCTTACTTCGTCCATGCTGGCTCGGGTTTAGACAAAGAAGCGCAGCAGCGGTCGACGAGTGTGTACTTGATCCAACAGGTGCTTCCAATGCTTCCTCGGCTGCTCTGCGAGGAGCTCTGCTCGCTACAGCCCGGAGTAGACAGGTTAGCGTTTTCGGTGATGTGGGATCTAGATTCAACAGGACAGATTGTCAAGCAGTGGATAGGTAGAACTGCGATCAAGTCATGCTGCAAGCTAAGTTATGGTGATGCCCAAGAGATCGTTGACGGGACTTTCAGCGAGAAACCAGGTCTTTCGGGAAATTTCAGCTGGCAGGAAGTGGCCGCTGATATCAAGACTTTGTACAACATTGCCAAACAGCTAGAAGAGAGTAGAATTAGGGACGGAGCACTACGTCTAGACACTGGAAAGCTCGTCTTTGCTCTAGATGGGGATGGGAATCCCCACGAGACCAGCTTCTACGAGCAGATGGAATCCAACAAGCTGGTGCAGGAGTTCATGCTTCTGGCTAACGTGAGCGTCGCCAAAGTGATATCGAGAGCGTTCCCCGACTGTGCACTCCTGAGGCGTCATCCTGAACCGAGCTCACGTAAGCTTCTCGAGTTCCAAGAGTTTTGCAAGAAGCACGGGTTTGTGCTGAAGACGGACTCTTCGGCGGACTTGCATGCGTCCCTGGAAGTACTGAGGGAGGAGCTCAAGGACGACCCGGTTCTTCTCAGCATCGTTACACTCTACGCCACCAAACCGATGCAGGTGGCGAAGTACTTTTGCACGGGCCGGGACAAGGACGGTGACTGGGGTCACTACGCCTTGGCCATGCCTGTTTACACGCACTTCACATCTCCGATTCGAAGATATCCCGACATCGTCGTGCACCGGACACTGTCAGCCGCTCTCGAGGCCGAAAAGTTGTTGAACAAAAGCCTCACAGGTCCCGAGGATTTGGTCTCAACCAAGGACTATGAGGTACTCCAGTTGGCTGCTTCAAAGCACAGGATCTCTGATCCCGCTGAGATGGCTTTGGTTGCGGACCATTGCAACGAAAGGAAAATGGCAAGCAAGAACGTTCAAGAGGCGACTGACAGGCTCTACCTGTGGACTATGCTACAGAGAAGAAAGGTAAGCTTTTCTTTCGTCTTTCCTTCATCCAAGACAGTATCTTATCAGTGTAAGCTTCTGGTTGCAGGGTTTGTTATCAGATGCGTGCGTTGTTGGCCTGGGACCAAAGTTCATGTCGCTGTACGTCTCCAAAATCGCGGTAAGTGAATTTCGCCTGGTTTTCCTTGGCGGACTAATGGACGCCATCTCTCACCAGATGGAGCGCCGTTTATACTACGACGAAGTAGAGGGTCTCAAGGTAGACTGGCTCGAGAACACTGGCACACTGGTTCTGGATTACTGCCGCCCGAGGCAACACTCTCGGAAGGCCAAGAGCCGAAGCATCTCTGACGTCGCAGTTGTGTCCAATCCGGCAATGGATCCTGACGACGAGACTGGTAATCTCGACAGCTTAACCATGATCGAGCCAGAAGCCATGCCTCTCACCCTTCGCTTGTTCTCACACATCCCAGTTCTTATCCATGCTCTCGGTGGTGATAGCTCCCCTCTCGACATAGGTGTTCGTGTCTACGTTACCTCATACTTATTCTCCTAGCTATCTTTCTTTTTTTTCTTCTTCTCTCCACTACCTCTTACAACGTACCTTGTTTCCTTTCTCTTTGGTTCTTTGTTGTCTCTTCGTTTTTCGTTCTCTCTTTTCTTGCTCCTTTGTTTTCCCTGTACAGCTCTGCTAAGTACTACTTGTAGAATGGGAGAAGTAAAATAATCCTGCAGTGGAAGAGAGAACTAAGACGAGGAAGAGTTTGAGAGAGCCCGGGTTTTTTTTCTTCTTCGTGGCTCGCTCGCTCTCTTCTTTTGTCTCTCCTCTGCGTAACGAGGCAGGCTTGTTTTACTACTCTGGACAAGAGTTCCGCGTTTTAGTAGGTGCTCTACTCCAGCTCTTATCGTTGTTGGCCGTACGACCTTGATGGCCCGCTTAAAACTTTTATGGAAATAAACAAATAAATAAGAAAATTCAAAGTTACATTATTTTTAACTGAATCTAGTGTCAAGCCCAATTAATATACTTATTCCCATAAAGGTTTTAGTAAAAATGCAGCTGTGGCTGGACAATTTATAACTTTTGTCCCCAGCACTCACATTAGTGGAGGTAAAACGTATTACAATTTATTTTTGAAGGGCAAAACTTTTTAATAATATTTTGCTTTGAGTGTTTTTTTAGTGTTTTAGATTGTGTTTTTTGTTTTTATTCTTTCATTCTCTTTTAGACTTAGATTTGTATTAGTTTTTTGCTAGATCTAGAATTCTAGTTATTAGTGTGCTTAAATTTGTTTGTCCTTTAAATTCTCCTATCATCAATCAATAAATATATCACTTAAGGTTATTAATGATTCTTTATTAGATCATGGAGTGTGATTATAATGGTATTGCACCCATCTTTGGTGTGTTAATATCTTTAGCTTCCATGAGATGTGATTACATGGCTTCTTTAGTTTTTAGTGTCCTATGAGTGATTATAACATCAATTAAAGAGTTATAAATAATGCAGTTTTGTTCTTAAAGATTGTTTGAAGATTAAATTTATGGGAAGATGATATATATGAGCTTGAGTGGATTTTAGATTGTGATAAAGATCTTAATTATTGTAGAGATAGCTTTAAAGACTAAGTTAAAAGTTTCACATAGTAGATATCAATCCTTTAATCTATTATTTGATCATTTCTTTTCATTTTTTACTTTTTCCCAACTTTCCTTATTTCTCAACCTAAGCCACTTTCTCATATTGCTAGTGTTCTTTCCTCATTTATTCTTTTAGCATATTGATTATTTGTGACTCTTACAATTCTCAATTTTAATCCAGCATTAAGTTAAGTATTCTTTGTCCTCTTTAGACTAATTTAAATGTTGAGCATGTGCAAAGTTGAGAATCTTATTTTTGTTTCTTTGGTAGAGTTTTTGATCAATTATAGTGTTAAATATTCCTCTATTCTAAAAGTTGAGTTATTATTTATTGCATTTGGGTATTGAAATATACTTATCATATAGACACTCTTTCCTCATTATCATGACGACAAAAGATTGGTATTATTGGTTCCCTTTGGGATTTCTATTTAAGTTAATTGAGGAATTAATCATTACATGTAGTGTTATTCCATATTTAATAAATTTTTATGATTGTCCCAAAGAACAACTCCTACTTCCATATAGGGTTGACTCTTATGATAAACCTGTCTAAAGGTTTTATCCATGTTCATCTTTTGAGACTACCATCCAGCTTCCAGTCGAATCCTTGGATGAGTGTCGCAATACCAATCTGGACAGCATCAAACCCAAGCTTGGCACTGGGACAAACTCTCCTCCCCGTTCCAGACCGGAGCAAGTTAAATTATGGCCAGAGACATCAAGTGTCAAGGGGCTGAAACTCTCGAGGGTCTTCCCTCAGGGAAGCCCGATTAAGCGCAGCGGCTCAGACGGGACTGTGATCCACACCAATACCTACTCGATTGCCATCGACGAGAGGCTTTGTTGTTTGGGAAGAGCTAGCGGAACCACTGGGCAGAGCCTCATTATTTCAGCAGGATACATCATAAGTTCATTAGATTATGTTTTGCAGTCCCAATTATTTATCAAGTTCAAAGAATACGTGATGACTAGGCACGTTAGTGTTGCAGAGACAAGAAGAAACCAAGATCCGATGCCTGATGCACCTAGACCAGAGGAGGTGAGTCCTTGAATATAAGTCATGTTTGCTTTTACTTCAACTTAATCGTTCCGTCAAGGGAAGCTCTGAACAAAGACTACTGGTGGACGCTGTAGTCATTGTCTACAGTCTAAATTCATTTACATTTATCTCTGTAGGAGAAACTGGCATCCTCTCTAAGTGCCTTTGCCAGTTGAGCTGCGCCTTTACGATCCCGGTGATCCGGTTAATTCTGCATCCTCAGAGGCTGGAAGGACTCAAATCCGTGTCACACGCAAGATCCGGGTGATGAGATGCAGGCACCGTTTTGGCGAGCTATCGAGCAGGTGTGGGAGGAGCGCGTGCCAGATTCCACTGTGCGTGGTATCGGTGGAGGGAGTTCACGGAACCACTCCCACGCACTGGGAGGATCGAACCTCTGAGGCTCCAGTTCAGGAACGATGCTAGAGTGTGTGTGTTCCTGTGCGATTTCGAGAATGCCGATTATGGATGTGATATGGCATAGCACTTTGTAGAATAAATGGAGTTTGGGATATTGGATTCCTAAGGATGAAAGTGATCTTGATTGCGCAATGATTTAAGAATAATGTCTTCTTATAAACAATGCACTTTGAAAAGATTGGTCAAACGCCTTTCACAATGACCAGCTTTCCTAGTTTCAATGGAGGCGCCTCCTTTGCATCGCTACGCTTCTGCCATAGCTGGCCGACGAGAACACCAGGACCAGCCGGGCGGATGTAAGCCACGAAGTTTTCCAGTGGCCACGAAAGCTTTTCTGCTTGAAAAAGTGGGAGATCTTAGCAGCAGAGAGACCAATCATCGGTGATTTACTCACCTGGTTTTCGAAAAGAGGACGGCAGCTCGTCTTTGAGATGGAGATGGCCGCTGCTAAAATCGAGAACCATATCGCATTCGTCATTTGTGACAGACACAAACTCTGCCTGTTGGACTTTGAAGTACAAAGGCATGTAACGTGAAACAACACTCCCAAACAGGCCCGCTGATCAGAAATGCATTCGTGATGAGTTCCAGCTTCAAGGAAAAAAAGATCTTACAGCAGCTAAGTTGGCCATATATACCATCGTCCTTGGACACGAAAAACTCCTACAGGCAGAGAAAGAGTTTAACCAAAGCTTTACATGAAAGTAAGGAAAACATACGATTGTTATGTCTCTCAACCAGCTCCATGGCCAGAAATCTGTGACACATTCTTTGTTGTTCTTGTGAGAATAGAAAAAGAAAGAACTTTACCTCCTCCAACCTTTCCATGCCAGATCGTTTTCTTGTATGGTTCCTCGATTTCGGGAGCTGGAAGAAGAGTAAACGCGTCCCCGGCAAACAATTTGGGGCTGTCATAGCGTTTTCCAGTCACCTCCCACATCGACTGCATGAGACTGTCATCCTCGTTAGCAAGCTTTTCCACAAGAAAAGTTCCAAAACTCACAAAACCTGGGATGGATTAGCTCCAAAAGCCGAGCTCTTCGCTCTTCCGGGACATCTCCAATCTTCTTCCTGTGACACGACTAAAACGTTAATCCAGAAAACTCCAGCTGAAAGAGTCACTCACCAGATGAAAGACGCATGGTTGTAGCTCGCCGGATCTAGAGGCGACAAGTATGGCGGATCCAGCAGCGTTATCACGTCCAATTCGTCCAGGTAGAACTTCCCCAGCCCCGGAATCGTTCTATAAGGCCTGTCTCCAAAATTCCCTGGACCACTGTCGCCCACTCTCTTGTCCTTGGTCGCAGCACTCTTGCTTTCTCTCCCTCCGTCGCTCTCCTCGAAGAATCTATACTCTTGGCGCTCACCAGGACCGGACGAAGACGATGCTCCAGGGCGCCCATTGGTAGCAGCAGCAGCAGCAGCGCACACGAAACCACGCCTTGTGCATGAAATGCGCGCCTGCCGCGCTGCGAGAGAATCCCACGACGCGCTCGTGCATTCGCCTGGAAGCACAGTTGGAGACGTCGCCCGGAGAACCGCCATAGCCGTATAAACCCTAAACCCAAACTAACTAATTAACTCTCTCTCTCTCTCTCTCTCTCTCTCTCTCATTCTCATTAGACCTCATTACCGCCACCACTACGCATTTCGTTCTTCCATCCTAGCAAAACTATGACTATGGATTTTCTCCCATTTAGTTTGAGTGCCTTCATGCTGCTTGTTTTAACTTTCATCTCTCTCTGGTTTCTTCTTGCTTCTTTAACTAGAAGAAGAAATCTTGGAAAACTCCCTCCAGGACCATTCAATTTGCCAGTCATTGGCTGTCTTCACATGCTTGGCTCGCTCCCTCACATCTCACTCCACAAGCTCTCCCAAAAATATGGCGATGTGATGTACTTGAAGCTTGGGATTAAGCCCACCGTTATCATCAGCTCCGGGAGAGCTGCCAGAGAGATTGTCAAGCTCCATAACCTCAAGTTTGCGTCTAAAGTTCCATTGATCTCTGGCAAATACTTTGGGAACGATTACAGTGGTATAGCTTTCAGCCAATACACTCCGGAAGTGAAGCTCTACAGGAAGCTCATCAACACTCACTTGCTCTCCCCGACCAAGCTCAAAATTTACGATGGAATCCGTCGCGAGGAGCAGCGCCGTCTCGCTCGATCTCTCAGTGACGAGCGAGGGAATCCGGTCCTCCTGCGGCAAAAGCTCCACAACATGAACATGAACGTGATAACTTACATGCTGTTTGGGAAGCGCTTCTGTGGACACTACAACAACACTGTGAATGTTGACGAGTTTGTGCAAGTGATAGTGGACATTTTGAGGCTGGCTGGGGTTTTCAACGTGAGCGATTATATCCCGGGAATTCGCTGGCTGGACGTTCAAGGTTTGGAGAAGCAGTACAAGCACCTTATGGACCGGGTAAACAGGCACCTCCTTTCAATCTTGCAAGACCGGCGAGTGAATCCTCCGGTTTTCACCAGCGAGGAGCCCATAGCTTTCATTGACGTGCTCATTTCCATGGAAGAAAAGCTCTCAGACATCACCATAATCTCACTCTTGCTTGTAAGTTTTTTATAACCGTTGGTTTCTTAGCTTAACATTGGAAAAATGGAATCTCACAGGATCTGTTGCTGGGTGCGGTCGATACTTCGGCTCTTTTGCTAGAATGGGCAATGGCGGAGCTGTTCCGGCATCCAGTAGAGTTCTCAAGAGCTCAGAGTCAGATAGACGCGGTAGTCGGCAAAGAAAAACTTGTGGACGAGTCGGACATCTTAAAGCTTCCATACATTGACGCTATAGTCAAGGAAACAATGAGGCTTCGCTCGGTGGCTCCGCTATCTCTTCCCAAACAAGTTCAGGGAGGTCCCATTAAGCTCAGCGGCTACACCATCCCGGACGGTACCACGATTTACATCAACAGCTACTCGATTGGCATCGACGAGAGGTTTTGGAAAGACCCTCTAGAGTTTCAGCCACAACGTTTCTTCGACTTGCCAGACGTCGATGTTTTTGGCCATAACTTTAACTTTCTTCCGTTTGGAACAGGGAGGAGAGTGTGTCCCGGTGCTAAACTTGGATTTGATGCTGTCCAGATTGGTCTTGCGACGCTCGTCCAAGGATTCGACTGGAAGCTGGATGCTCCCGGCAATATGAACATGGATCAAACCTTTGGACTGGTTTGTCATAAGAGTCAACCTCTCGTGGGTATCCCAGTCCCAAGGCTGGACTCTCATGTTTACTAAATTGGTCGACACTAGCTTGTCTAGGAAATATCGTTTCTTTACTTTTCCAAACGTCACAGTTTGATGAAAAGGCTGGTACTTCTCACACGAATAACATGATCTCGTCTAGAACGTATGCTTTACTACTGTCATGAATGGCGCATTCATGACAGTAGTAAAGCATACATTCTAGCAGAGGGAGTCCCTCACTTTTTTAATTTTAGAGTCGTGTACTATTTATTTGAAAAATGGCATTTAGAAAAAGAAGAGAATGGGGAATAAATTTGAATATTCTAGCATCATGTTAAATTTTTCCCAAGCCTAAAATAGTTTTGAGAATAACCTAAGAATCATGTTCATCCAGACTAAAATAAATAAATAAGGGGAAGTAGTTCCAACATGCTAAGCAATTATACTCCACTTCACTAGGACAACTTTAGTGTGGTAGTATTGTTGTCGTGCGTCCCAGTGAAAGATACCCGTTTGTTTGAGATCACTTTGCAGAGTATAATAGACACTTTGATGGGTTCCCTAGTACCAGGAGCCCAAAAATTCCTCTTGTGGATCATGTATCTAAGGTATTTCTAGGACTCCATCGTCCAATGCCTGGCTGTCGTGAGCTTTTTCAAAGACCGTCACTTGAGCGCACAAGTTGAGGCAACTAGAAGGAGAGGTAGATATATAATTCTGCCAATTGCGTTCTCAAAGACATGAGCAACACCTTTTAAATATGTGAGGAGCTGCTCAATGGCCGTGATAATTCCTGGTGGACCGCTGAGCACTTGGAGTCGTTCAATGAGCTTTCGTTATGGAAGGCCTTCTTGAAATCATCAAAGCAGCAGAGAAGTCGGCTTCCGTCGTTGTCCGTGTAGTGTTCAAAGTGTTATCAAGTGGTCTGTAGGCTCCTTGTCCAAGAGCCCGCTTTGCATACTTTTCAAGCCACAAGCTGTCGACTATGTTGCGCACCCAGACTTCAGTGTCATCTAGCAGCAGAGGCATCATAATCCAGGTACAAGAGCAGCATCATTTGGTGTGGATTATGCCTAGGACGGGAACACCAGACACCGGCTTCCTAAAGATACAAAATGCCTTCGAAAATACAAAATGCCTTCAAAGGCTGTTGCCGAAGTTGGCATATATTGTCCAGATTTTTATGAATTTGGAAGCAGTGTTGTTTTTGCATGTGATAAAAAAAAAAAGTTGGAGTAAATTAACCAGCTTTTCGCCCTGTAATCCTACGCAACACTTCCCTCAAGCTCACGTCGAAAGCATCCTCAAATCCACTCCCATTTTCTCCGCCAGGCATTCGATATATCAACCTAGGAATCAAGGAAATCACGCTGCTTCTCAGCTCCAGGATCCTCTCGCCAGGCAAAGAGCTCAAAAACTCCACCACGTCGACGCCACCACCCGTGATGGATTCTTCGGCGATGAACACCGAGTAGCTGCCAGGATCCGATGGAAGGTGCCACACGTACTGCGAGTAGGCCGAGTCGTGGTGGAAGAACACCGGTATACACCCCGAGATGATGGCGTCGAATGCCGACCTCCGGGTGGCCGTGTCTCCCCTGGGTTGCAAGCAAAACTCCGACTCGAGAAACGTTGCCACGCTCGGCCGGGGATCGTGACCACACTTGAGCGATCCTCCGCAGTCGACATGGACGCACAGCTCCGCCCGTTTCTGGCACTGCCTGAGAAGAGTGCTTCTCACGCTCGCCGCGTCCTTCATGGTGGCTCGAATCCCTCCCGAGAATGACAGTAGGTATTTTCTTCGCGACGTGGTCACGGTGCGGATCCAGGCTTTGAGCTGAGTGGCATTGGACGGATGGAAGGACGTCGGATAAGGCACCGCAACTTGGTTCTCTTCCCAAGGGTTCCTCTCGATGTAGAGGGTCGTCATGTTGGCTACGTGATCCAGTCCCTGTATCCCTGTTCCCCATGATCCCGGAGCAAGCGCAAAGTCCCACGAAGTCCTTCCCATCACCATGAAGTGATCTCTCCCGTTCCACCTCTTCCACGCATCCCCAGCCTGTTTTTCCAGCCATTTTGCAAGCTCCACCCCGTGCCGGTCTTGCATTGTCTTCACACAACCGCCACTGTAAAGGTACTGAAGAGCATCGAAGCCGGCATAGTACGGGACGAACAAGGCGTCTGCTCGACTGGAGTCGTTCGTCAGACAAGAATAGCTGCGAATCCTGGAATGGAAAATCACCTCCAGCATGTAAGCATCGGTAGCGTACCAGCCAGCGCTCCGATCAATTGCCTGTCCAAACCCATAGTTCTCAAGGTGCTGGCAAAAGTCTAGCCAACAAACGAGTTGCTTGTCGCATTTCTTCACCAGCCCCTCATTCAGCTGCGCTGGAAGATTGTAGACATAGACTCTTTTCCCCCAGCACCTGTCGAAACTGACTTGGCCACCGGGCTCGTCTCGTACCAGGTTGTTTAAGAGCGGCCGCCTGAGATCGGACGAAATGCTGATCCTGTGCTCCGGAAAGACTAGTAGAACAAGAACTAGAAGCAAATAGCAGCTGACCGAGAGCAGCAAGGCACCGCAGCTTATCCTTTTCAAATGCAGCATACTGGTAGCAACCGGGAAGAGGTAGCGTCATTCCTCGTTGAGCTCGAAGGCGGCGATGATGCGCGGCTCAAGGATTTTCTTGGCTTGAATGAACATGAACACGCGGCAGACGCAAGCGTTTGGAGCCGTTTCTAAAATGGCCTCTAAAATGTAGACGTCAAGGCCCCACGCACTGAAGTGTAGTTACCATGGCACTAGCCGCCACCATCTGTAAACACCGAAAATTCGCGTGTTTATAGCCGGCGACACCTAAGGAACCAGTAAACAACAAAGTTACAAAAGAATCTTCAACGGACAACAGGACTTAAGTTACCATATTAAGTTGGGCCGCTTCCCAGATAAGACGAAAAAATATGTAACTGTTGAGCACGACCAGCAACATGGCATGTCTCCCGTAGACGAAAAAAATATAGCCGCGTGCCAAGATGCGCATGAGCACACATGGTTAAGAATCGGTGCTTTCAAGAGATGTCAAGGCTTTGTCAAGATGATTCAGCAACGCAAGGCCAAATAAAGTGTCCTCGCAGCAGATCGTAAGCGTGCCATGCACAGCATCCGGTTCCAAGGCCACGGAGATTAGACATAAGAGTGACCCTGTGAGAGTTTCCGCGCCAAAAAGAAGAACCACGTCTTCGGCGTCTCGCGAGCCTATGAATGAGACCCTGGCAGCTGCGACTATTCTTTTGCAACACTGTCCAGGAGAAATTCCGTGAAGATAAATTCTGCAGCACCAGAACAAGACTAAGTTTCGGCAAGCTAGACTAAGAGAAAGCTCACCTCCGAGAAGACCTGTGCATCCCAGCAATTCGGGCTTCAGCAGCCAAAAACACGCTTATACTCATCTTCCGAGGACGCAAAAGAACGCCTGGTTCTGGCGATATCTTGATAGGGAACTTGTTTGAGTTGCAGTGCAGCCACACCTTGACGATACTTAGGTTGTGCCGAAAATCAACATGCGCATTGAGTTCCGTTTTCTCCCCTGGCTCGAGAGCAACTGCTTCCGGTGGTATGATTCTCGCTGTGCCACTCTCGAAAGCAGTCTGGCGTCTGAGAGAAAAGAGAGCAAATTAGACAAGCCAAGAAAAAAGAACAGCTGCGTACCCTGCAGTTTCTCCATCGTTGATTTCTATCCCATGCATTGGTTCCGACGATTTGTTGTGAAGGAAGAGCCTCACACACACCATGCTGGACGAAAATATGGAAGGACCTCTCATAAAGCCGTAGTGAACTTCCAGTCCGTCTCCGTTTGTGAAGTCAAGAGCCAGCACCTTTTTCACTTCAGAGTTGGAGCTTTTATCGAAGTCCTCTGGCGAATTGGAAGGTTCTTCAGGTCCAAGCCACGACTCAAGATCCACAGACGGGGACAGATCCTCAGGCGAAGCGTCTTTCTTCAGCAGTTCCGTGTCAGACAGCGAAATTAAATCTGCTTTCTCCTTCGCTGTGTTCCCGTCGGCATCACTTATAACAGCAAGAACGTCATCTGTATAGTTCCCGTCATCCTCAGACTCAAAGCTTTCACTACCCGAGTCCGTAGATTCACTCTGGCTTTGAAGTTCGGGTTGTCTTTCGGGTAAAGTTGGGCTGGAAGGACTCAAATCCGTGTATCTTTCGCGTGGAAGAGGTCTGTATCCAGGAGACATGTGTTGAACCATATGAGACATCGATCCTGGTAGGAATGTGGACGGCTGTAAACTCAACGAAGGTAATACTGGTACCGACTTCTGGCGAAGAAACATGGAGTTGGCAGCTTTGGATAGTACACCTGGATCAAGTTTTGACTGATCAATGTTGAGTAAAATAGCGTCGATAATCTCCGGAAGACGTGGATCTGCGTCATATGACGAATGGTGCTTGATAGCGTCTAAATGGCCAGCCAAGAGAACTCGTAAAATCCAGGCTCGATCTCGTACGTCATAGTTTAAATCACAGGCGGCAAGATCCAGAATATACTGAAGAATTAACAGGACAGTCTTCAAAGACGAGCACCGTTGAGAAGATGAAATGATCTGGATCATTTTTTCTGTAAGATAGAGATCAGCAGCAAAGAAGCTTACCTTCGCAAGGCAGTTCAAAACTTGAAGCTTAGTTCCATTAGACTCATTTGCAAACGTTTTGGCTAGATACCGCAGGGCCACAGGGATTCCTTCAGCAAGTGCAGGACGAGCAATTGCTTGTTCACCAATCATCCAAATGACGACTTCACGTGCAGTTGGTTCTAAAATGTGGTTTAAGTTGCGTAAAAGATGAAGGATTACCTGCAAGACAAGATTAAAGTTCAGTACTCCAGCACTTACACAACAACATAAAAAAACCTGGTCCTGCTCTGCTGGGTGCTTCTGCATAATAGCTCTTAGCGACGAAACCGCTTGAACCACCACTCTTCCCCTCCCCGGACTATATTGTTCGCGGCCAGAGTCTCCAACCTTTGGTTCAGCCTCATTTGCATTGTGGAGCGAATCGTCGTCACGGGAAGACCGAGAAACGACTAGCTTGAGAAGACCCTTGGTGCATATAGCCACTGTGGAAGACAGTCGAAGCGCACACCGGCCAATCGAGTTTACTGCGTCTGCTGCCAGCTGAGAGTTTGGGTTTCGTATATAGGCCTGTGATGAAGTAGCAAGTAAGCAAAGGAAAACATTTGTCTTGCTTACCTCCAATTCTTGAAGAATTTGCGTGGCGGACAAATCTGACACAATGTTTGTTAGTATGTCCAGCTTCAGAGCTTGAATAGCTTGAGAGTCAGAAGAACATATGAAAAAATCTTCAAAATATGCCTCGAACAAACTTGGCTCACACTTCGAGAAAGAAAGTATATTTGCAAGCACCTGAAACAGAAGGCTTAGATCAAAAGCTGAAGTAACTGCCAAATGCTCACCACATGCCGTGCATCAAGCGACGAACGAAGTAAAAACAGTAATGGCTTGACAATGTTGCTGAGTTCATTGCCCGGAGAAAAATACCAATGGATGACTGCCGCCTGTAATACGACCGCACTATTTTGGCTCCGTAGCAGAGAAAGCGTAGACGATAGCATGAGCCTCACTTCCCACCTCTCATCCGGAAACGTCGTGTCAGCTTTGTAAAAGTCGCCACCATTTTCTTCGTGTGCTTGCTGTAAACATGAGAATTCTACGTTCGCGGAGCTGAAATCTCTAACAACGCCATACTTTGCCACGATATACCGCATCAGGATGTCCATAAGAGAAATCTGTCCCCATTCATCAGCCTCGTAAAGTAGTCCACACAGCTTCCTGAAGCTGGAGCTCAATAAGGAATAACGCTCCGGGCAAACAGAGATAAAAGCCTGCGCTGCGGCTCCAGCTACGCCCGGATAATTGTCGTTCAGCAAGATGGACACAAGCTGAAAAAGATCCTGTTACTAATCCAACAGACAACGAACTGGAAACAACCGTACCTGTACAAGCTCGTCGAAATGTTGTTCGTCACCCATGGAATGAATCTTGGAAACCGCATTCGCAGCACACCTCCGAACGTAAGGAGAAGGATCTCTGGCGCACTTGTTTGCAGCCATGATAACGAGAGGGCCAACTGCGCGGACCTTGATCCCGGACATCGCTCGCAAGGCCCAAGCACGAACCAGGGGATTGATATCGGATAGATCTCTTTGGAAACTGTTGATAGAAAGCAACGCCTCGTCTGGTCGTCTACAAAGAAGAAGAAAGATGTATCGCGTTGGAGAATTTTTTTTCCTGGAAACTGGAGAAGTTCTAGCATTACTTATCAGCGTAGTGGACGAGGTAGATGTAAACGAGCTTCTTCACTTCCAGAGACTGTGAAGCAACGCCCTTGACAACCTGTGAAAAAAAGAAGGAATTTGTGAAGGAAGAGACGATAGAAGAAGCTAATCATCTATGAAGAAGAGAAATTTACCTGTGGGAAGAATGTGGAAACGTCCTGTCCCTGTGCCATGAGCGCGATGAGGCGCTTCAATCCCTGGGCTTTGTCCGCGTCGTAGCGACTGTCGAGCAGCGTGGGAATGTCCGCGTCCTGGGGATCGTCGTAGATCGCAGCATCCGTGCCGACGCCGCTGACGAGAGCGGACATTTTGGAGATCGAAGACGCCGTGGACGAGAACATTGCCGCTGCCGCTGCTCCCTGGAAACCCTGCTCTGATAAACCCTAAGAATCACTGCGATTTCACCCTGGCGAATCTCAAGGATTGGAGCGAGCTGGTATTGATCGAAATTTCGCGTTACCTGTCCGGGAATGGAGCGCTGGCCCTGAGAACGGGCTTCTTAGGTTTCTTCCGCAAGCCGCAAATCTCTTGGACAAGAGGAATGTGAACGAGCAGCAGCTTCCACGCCACGAACCATCCTGAAAGAGATTGGGGTAATGGATCGATCCAAATGTAATGGCGAATTACCGAGAGCTATGCAGGAGAAGACCAGTGCGATGGCCAACGCATAGCGGATCGCGAAGTCGAGCATCGCGCCAGAGGAATTTTAGTTGCAATGCCCTAGAAGGATATTAGGGCTTGTTTGAAATAATCATATAAGATAAAACTATGTAATTGTTAAGTAAATTTTAGTCAATGGTCGTAGTCAATGAAGGTCAACGGGCTTGAAAGTTAACACCAAAACGTCTTTGATGCTAGTTCTTGGAGGCCACGATTCCTCGCCACGGAGAACTTAGACAAGGATTTCGAACGATTAGAACTTTCAGTCGCTAATACTCGTTCTAATGGGGTCAAAAACGTCATCTCACCACGTCGCAAAAAGGCCTCGTCCGTTATAGCGAAGTCAAGCAAGACTGCACACCATTTTGGTCTATTAGCATCCCAACGTGTAGTTCAGAGAGGTCAGTCACGTCAAGGACCACGCGTTGTGAAATGTATGGACGCTTTTGCCTATAAATTCCAACGATTCCATTCCAGCTTATCATAACAAACAACATTCTAAGATCCAATCAAAACTTAGAATGATGAGGACGATGAAGGTGATGACCTGCTTGTGGATCCTGGCGTTGCTGCTTGGCTGCTCGGATGCAGGCACCGTTTTGCTCAAGGATGGGGAGCTATCGAGCGGGTGTGGGAGGAGCTCGTGCCAGATTCCAGTGTGTGGGATATCGGTGGAGGGAGTTCACGGCTGCACGGGAGGCCAGACCACTCCCGTGCACTGCGGGAACTCGAAGAAGTTCCAGGAGTTTAAGGAAGTTTGCAAGGGCGGGAGGCTGAGCATCGACTGGCGGATCGAGCCTCTGAGGCTCCAGTTCAGAAACGATGCTGGGGACTTTGAGGAGTGTGTGCTCCAGCGCAATTTCAAGAATGTTGACTATGGGTGTGATATGGCATAGACGATTGTCTTGTAACTTCCTATAATAACTTGGAGCTGGATGTTGGTTCTCAAGGATAAAAGTGCCGTGAGTAATTTAAGAACAATGTCTTCTAAATCAAAATTCAAAACCAGCTATCATCTCAAAGGAAAAAGTTTGTTGTACTTTTCTGCTCTATTCTATTTAACTTTAAAAGAAAAGTTACTATAAAAGTATCTTTGTCAAAAAAATAAACATATAGGCCAAATTTACCATACCTTTCCTCATGACACTGCCAGGAACTCAGAAAAAAAAATTTATCTAGATGGAATGAGAAGGAAATTGTTGGTGTAAATTATAAAATAATAATAATGTTTTATTATTCCTGCATTTACAGCCCTAAAAAACAGCATAGTTGTTGCTGTAGAAAACCAAACTTTAGCTAACACCCCAGCTTTAGCTCAGGACAATGAAAAAAATGTACTGAGCTTAGCTAGCATTTCCACTGCTTAAGCTCAGAACAACTTAAAATAAAAATTCTTCTTACATTCTTAAAATTTTAACACTCTAAATAGTGTTAATAATAATCGTCATGCAAATCCAGCATCAGTGCTCCTGACCAACTTGTATGATTCTAGCACCTAACAAGTTTGCTGCAAACCATGGATCTATTTATCATATGGGATTATTGATTCTTTCATATCTGCCAGCTAATTTATAAAGTTCCTCATGGGCAAATTTTTTTCTACCAACCCACCATCATTGCAAGTTGATTTTAATTATCATTTCCATAAAACTTCACCACTTTGAGCACAAAGCCAATTTTGCTTTCAAGAAGTAAAATGTTGGACATTGATATCGATATTGAGGCATTTCCAAAGCCCCAACTCTAGCATGCTTAAGACACTCCAAATCATGCTATCTATCTATATATTGTTTTGATAGTTGTGTAGTCAAGCATGAAACTGGATGCAAATGCAAGTTAAGTCACATCATGTCTTCCGCCTGAGCACGGCTCCCTTCCTGGCTGTATGTGTAAACTTAAGCTGCATCTTGTCTTCCTCCTGATCACGGCTCCTTTCTTGGCTGTATGTGCAAACTATCAATCAATCAATAAATTTGTTTAATTAATAAAATGGAGATGATAACTTAAAAAACAATTACACGTTTTCGATTCAATATATACATCTATGTGGAATAGATATTCCCAGGATGCATGAATATTCTAATATTTGTGGTTATTTGTTATGTTAATGTATTTTATCTATATCTTTTTTATTATTATGTTAAGCCAGTCCGATTCTTTCAAAGTTGGTCATCTTCTTTTTTCGTTTTTTCTTGTTGCTAATGGCGGCAGCTTCGGTTGCAGCAACAAAGGGGAGTTTTCTTGGCAGATCGATCAAGCAGCAGCAGTGGGAAGTTAATCACAGCCCCCACAAAAAAGTTAGTATATTTCTTCTGGCACAGGATAGAAAGGATGAAACTCCTCCCGGCGAGGGGAGTGAACAGAAGCAGGAGAAGACATCGCTTCTGACTAGCATCACCGACGCGCTGGATTTCTCTCAGGCAAGGTCGGAGAGGGACGCTGATTTGATCGACGAGGCTCGTCAGGCTACAAAGTCGGGCGAGAAAATGTCCCGAGAGCAAGTACGAAAAAACATCTTTGAGAAAAAACATCCAATGCGTGCGAATTTCTCATCTCTCCCTTCTTGACTTTTGCAGTACGCAGCTCTGAGGCGGAAGATCGGTGGCACCTACAAGGATTTCTTCAAAGAATCAATCGATGGTATTTACAAGTCCCTTTCTTATTTGAGTGTTTTTTTCTCCTCGGGTCTTTTCATTTTCGTCCTCATGCCAAGGTATTGCGTGATCAATCAGTGAAGGGTGCGTACGTTGAAACTGGATGGGTGGACAAGCGATGCAAAGTTTGTGGCAAGGACACATCGAAAGAGCCACGCTCCAAAGATAAGCTCGGGCGGTAGTGCTTGGAATCAAACTCTTCCACGAGTTTCTTTGGTCGCCTATTTGGGAGGTGACCATTTCATGCAATATCTTTCTATATCCACTTCCACCATTTCTAGAAAATATCTATTTCCACATCCACCATCTAAACTAGGATAAACTCTTACCTCCACAACTGATCCTGGATAGACGTTTTTAGATTACTTTTCTTCCACATGAATTGATACATTGTTATATTGATCAGTTGTATCATTAAAAGGCTAGAAAACCAAATGGTTGAATCATGATAGTTCTTCGAGCGTCACACCCGAAATTATGATAGTTTCCTGGAGAGGAAGCAAACTTTATGGAAGAAACAAGCTGGTATGAGCTAATGTTTCTAGTAAACGTGAGAATCCAGCCTCGGGATTGGGATAGCCACAAGAGGTTGACTCTTTTGACAAACCAGTCCAAATGTTTGATCCATGTTCAGCTTTGCCGGATCATCAAGATCTCCATCCAGCTTCCAGTCAAATCCTTGAACGAGCGTTGCAATACCCATCTGGACAGCATCAAATCCAAGCTTTGCACCGGGACAAACTCTCCTCCCTGTTCCAAACGGAAGTAAGTTGAAATTTTGGCCAAAGACATCGATGTCTGGCAAGTCGATGAAACGCTGCGGCCGAAACTCAAGAGGATCTTTCCAAAACCTCTCGTCCAGACCGATCGAGTAGCTACTGATGTAGATCACAGTCCCGTCCAGGAGGGTGTAGCCATCGAGCTCGATTGGGCCTCCTTGGACGATCTTGGGAAGAGCTAGCGGAGCCACTGACCGGAGCCTCATTGTTTCCTTGGCTATGGCCTCGACGTATGGAAGCTTTGCGATGTCCGACTCGTCCACAAGCTTTTCTTTGCCGACAATTGCATCAATCTGGCTCCGAGCTCTCGAGAATTCGGCTGGATGCCGGAGAAGCTCGGCCATGGCCCATTCCAGCGAGAGAGCCGAAGTATCCACAGCACCCAGCAAAATGTCCTGTGGGATTCATCCAGCGTTAAAGAAGAACAACTTTGACCAAGAGAAACTTACGAGCAGAAGTGTGATTTTGGTGGTGTCTGAGAGCTTCTCTCCCATCGAGATGAGCACGTCGATGAAAGCCATGGGCTCGTCGCTGGTGAAAACCGGAGGATCCCCTTGCCGGTCTCGTAAGATCGACAAGAGGTGCCTGTTTATCCGGTCCATGAGCTGCTTGTATTTCTTCTCCAGGCCTTGGACGTCCAGCCAGCGAATTCCAGGGATGTAATCGCTCACATTGAAAACTCCAGCCAGCCTAACCGTCTCCACGATCGCTTGCACATTCGTCGTAGGAACTCGTCGACATTCGCAGTGTTCTTGTGGTGTCCACAGAAGCGCTTCCCGAATAGCATGTAAGTTATCACGTTCATGTTCATGTTGTGGAGCTTTTGCCGCAGGAGGACCGGATTCCCTCGCTCGTAACTGAGAGATCGAGCGAGACGGCACTGCTCCTCGCGACGGATTCCATCGTAAACTTTGAGCTTGGTCGGGGAGAGCAAGTGAGTGTTGATGAGCTTCCTGTAGAGCTTCACTTCCGGAGTGTATTGGCTGAAAACTAGACCACTGTAGTCGTTTTCAAAGTATTTCCCGCAGATCAGTGGAGCTCTGGAGGCAAACTCGAGACCATGGCGCTTGAAAATCTCTCTGGCAGCTCTCTCGGAGCTGATTATGACTGTGGACACGCTGCCGAGCTTCAAGTGCATCACATCGCCGTATCTCTTGGAGAGTTTGTGGAGTGAAATGTGAGGGAGCGAGCCGAGCTTGTGGAGACAGCCAATGACTGGCAAGTTGAGTGGTCCTGGAGGGAGATTTCCTGGAGGATTTCTTCTTCTAGTAGAAGAAAACCAGAGAGCTGCAGCAAGCAGCACTAAGGCACTCAAACTTGGGAGGGAGAGAAGATCCATGAATGGAAGGAAAAACACAGCAGTGATAAGTCGTACACTAAATGGGAATGGGAATGAGGTCTTGCTTTTCCTTGACTTTGTCTCATCCCAGTAACAATATGGAGGCAGCGAGCCAATGCGTTGTCTTAGAAGTCGTGTCTGAGTTAAGGTTTTAGAGGACGGCATCGCAGGTTTAATGCCCAAGAGAATTCTGTGTATGGTTTGGTATTCTAATTTTACTTTAGATTTATTCTTTTTCTTTGAAGTTTGTGTTTTTAGTTAATAGAAGTGTGTATTTTTAGAGTTATCAACATTGTCCTTGTTTAGGAATGTTGTTGATGTATAAGAGATTTTAGATATGCTATGATGTGTGATTGTGTTAGCTCAATTTGATCCTTTAGACTGGTTTATCCATAACTTTTAAATCAGTTATTATCAATCACTCTTTATATCAAACACTACAAAAACAAAAAGAAAATTTCCTTTGTTCAATTTTATATTTCTATTTGGGTGCTAAAACATAAAATATGTAATATAATGGTAGAGTTATGTTACAGAAGAATAAAATGGCATTACACTATAGGAAAATAATGTCTATGAGCTTGAGTGAATTTTGTAGTTTAATAACTTTGATAATGAGGTAATGATTTCATCAAGATATGTTATTCTTTTTTTTATTCTTTTTCTTTGCCTTATTATGTTTTATGTTTTTATTTTTCTTTATCATTTTTAAACTATTTACTCTTCTATGTGTGTTATATCAAGTGTCTGAAATGGGTAGGTTAGAGTGTCTAAGAATTCCCTAGCATCTACAACTTTGTCTCCTCAAAATTTTGTAATTAGTTTTTTTTTGAAAATAAATGTAAAAATCTAAAATTATTAAAAAGTAATTAAAAAATTTAGAAAAAAGTATAAGTGTGGAAAATGATTAACATACTAAAAAGATCAAAAGAATGCATTACTGTCACAAATGTGACTTCGGGCATCGAAAATTATCTGTCGGCCAGTCCTTTCGGACACTCTTTCCTTACTGCCACGATGGCAGAAGGTTGGTATTGCTAGACCTATTATTAATCTCTGCCTAAGCTAGTTGAGAAACTAGTCCTCGTGTGTGCACTTGGCCAGATGAGCATAAAGAAGGAATTCCTAAATGTTTATTTAGTCAAACATACTTGACTTGGTTAGAGAAATTCATTCGTTGACTTGCACTTGCTAGTGTTGGGAACCCCCGTGATATTAAACTTGGTCCCTTAATATTCGCTAAATGATAGTTTACCGTGTCTGCCAAACACCCTCACTATCATGCCCTTTGTGTTAATCTCATTCCGGTCCCAAATGCTATTTATGGAAAGTGTCTAGATTTGCTCTGATTTGGCATATCTACGGAATGTAAAGATTGGCTTGTACACAATAGTATTCGTCCTGTGTCCAAATTCACATTTTAGCACCATTCTATATTTAGTAAGTTTCAAGCTTGTCCCAAAGACTAACTCTTGGTACTAAGGGAGGCTTGGGGTGAAAGCCCAAAGCATGTGTTCCTCAAAACCTGAGGCATAGTTTAGCTCTCGCTTGCATGCCTGTCTTTGTTCTACGTCCGGCTTGGGTCTAAGCCCAAGTTCCATTCCATGCTAGCTGGTGGAGTACCTATATCCTCATATTAGGTCACCAATATGCCGAAATAGCACCAGACTCCGTTTAACTCCATTTTGCATGCTGGTCCTAGCATTAGGATACTGGTTGCTCTAGGACTGTTTCAAGTCGCTCCGGGCTCCTGTCCCTTTGCTCCTTGGGCTGTATGCTCAGGAGTTGCTCTGTGGTCTGGTTCCAACACTCCTTGGCTCCATGTTTGGGGGCTTAGCACCATTCCTTTGTTCAGTGGCCCAGGGCCCTAAACCTCGGGTTCCACACCACTGTCCTATGGACACGTAGCATATGTCACATGGCACAAAGAGGGTTTAGGTTCCGCTTCATGGTTATCCTATGGTAAATCACCATAGGATAAAGGGTCAAAACCACAAAGTGACAGAAATGTTGTCCCAAAGTCCCAGACTATGGAAAGGAAGAGGAATGGTCCTCTGGTGTAGTGACCAATGATACGGTCATGTGGTGAGGAAGTTCTAGAGGACAGTGGGACTTAGTGGTCGGGCCTATGGGCCCTATCCCAGTGGCAGTGTTGGCGAACATGGCCATGGGCAGAAAAGGGACTTGGTGAGGACTGTAAAAGGGATATTAGGGAAGGTTGTTCCCCATGTTTGCGGGCATCTTAGAGATGCTAAAGAGTGGATCTTGGATGGTTACTCCTGGATGGATGGCCCAATCCTTGAGAGACTGGCGCTAGATTGCGAATTTGGACATGGGACAAACACCATTGTGTTCAGGCCGATCTCTACATTCCGTAGATATGCCAAATGAGCAAATCTAGACACTTTCCATAAATAGCATTTGGGACCGAATTGAGACTAACACAAAGGGCATGATAGTGAGGGTGTTTGGTAGACACAGTAAGCTATCATGTAGCGATATTGAGGGACTAATCTCAATACGCGAGGGTTCTTGTCACTAGCAAGTGCAAGACAAAACGAGACGGGAACTCCTTACCGGGCTAAGTATGCTTAGCTAATAACACATAGGAATTCCGTCCTTATGCTCGTCCGGTCTAAGTACACTCGAAATGCCTAGTTAACTCCACTAGCACAAGAGGGGCTAATAAAGGGTCCAGCAATACCGACCTCCTACCATCGTGGCAGTAAGGTAAGAGTGTCCGTAAGGACTGGTCGATAGGTAACTTTCGATACCCGAAGTCACATGCGCGACACTCTCCCCCCCTAGGGAAGATCGACGTCCTCGTCGATGCACACTCGAGTCTAGAATACCGCCAAGGAAACAACTCCAGAAAAAAGTTCACGGTACTCACACTATGTGAGAAATGCACCAACTTAAATGAGTTAGGGGTAACCTCTTTGTCTAACGCGGATGCGCTACCAGCTCAGACACCTTCCGGCCGTCGCCGACAAGGAAATGACCAACGGAGTCAGCCACCCTTGTTGCTCTGGGAGTCACCCAGCTTACAAAAGTGTGATATGCCCCTGCCCGCAGGAACATAGAGAGAGAAGCCAGAGGCCCCAACCCTCCTAAGCAAAGAAACCAAACCCGTCAGTAAGGTTTAGATAGACTACTGTAAACAGGCAGTTAGAGTTGTTTACACGGTCACGCCCTTTTCAACGGAATAAGGAACATCGACAGAGAGGCGGGTTATGTGACCAGTCGACAGTAGCTACCCCATGACTAGAGATTTCACCATGCACACGAAGTGCCGAAGCCAATCTGCCTATACTGGCCCAAACTTAAAGATCAATAGATGGACAATATCAAAGTCAGAGACAATGATATCTTAGAAGCTTAATTATCAGTGATTATATCTTATATTAGAACACAATAGTATTCCAAGTAAGCTATCATCTGATAAACCAGTAGTACAGTAGATAGGAACCACCAAGATCATCAAAATTGGTAAACATAGGAATCACCATCCAACAAAATTCAATAGCAAGTATATCATCAAGAAAACTCAATGATGAAACTACACTATCGAAGATGGCAGACAGTATGCTAAATAACTTACTAAAGATAACTTAAAGAACACAAAATATTATTGACTGACAAGCACAATGCTCGCGAATGTATCACCTGAAGGAAATAACATCCCAATCTATCAGAACTAACTCGAGCAATAATCAACAGAACAGAATGAATGCGATAAGACCAACAAACCCTCAGTCATGCCAACTATCACATGAGTAAATCCGAATAGATCCCAGCCAACAACACTAAGGAACTCAAGTTGCCTAAGCAAGTGTCAGCAACATCCTATGGATGCCTCAAACCCAAGAGACCAATCCAGAGCAAACCACAAAGAACATGTGGTATTGCGAAAAGCTAGAAGCCATCAAAGAGAATAACTAACTATCATAAAAGATCATCAACCATCCCATTAATCAAGAGATGCATAATCATCGTTGAAGAAAGAATCTACCATCCCGAAGAACAGCAAATCATTTTATGTCAACAATAATCAAGCAAAATCTATTGACAAGGACAATCAACTATCTTAGATGATAGTCAATCATCACCAATGATTGCTAGATGCGAAAGCCAACATCAACATCGAAGCTAATGAGTAAAAATGCCTTCCCCAACAACTTCTAACAAATGGATCACAAGTACGAAAACTCAAGGAACCAAAAGCTCGAAGAAGCCTATAGCCAAGTCTTGCCTAACAATGATCACAAGTCTTGCATGAACTAACTTCAATGCTAAAGAAGAAATCATGGTACAACCCACAATATCTTCCTCAACACATCCATAAGCTAGACTTCATAATGCCAAAGCTAATGAAGAGCATATCTGCATCAATCCAAAAGCTAAACATAACGAAGCTATGCTCAACAAGTGATTACCAAATGATCCTCCATGAATCCATCTATAGCAAGACGTAACTCACTTCATAACAAGCACAAGAAGAATCATCAAGGATCAATATATCCCAACTCAAATCCAACAAAGATTTGATCACTTCAATATTGATCACTAACTCTTCCACTTGTAGAGTTAGCATAGTTCATGACTGAATCACTTTTCAAGGAAAAGCCAAAGCTCAACCTCTACTACATAATCTCGTCTAGAACACAACTAACTCAAACTTGCCACTCAGTTCATTTGAACGTCAATACAATTGCTAACTAGCAAATGCACGAATGCTAATAACATAAAGCTACAGTCACATCATCAACACTATCTTTATCAAGACTAATGAAACTCAATATCAATCCTAAAGATAGTCATCTCATCTCACTTGAATCTCAACAACAACAATGTCAACGACAAGGCATCACTTCAATGCCATCAATACCAAACAAAGCTAAAAGAAAGCCAAAGTGAATCACCACCCAAACTCTCTAGCAACTAAGCTAACCAAAGTCGAAGATACTTTAGTCAATATCCGAGACTAATCCTTCAGCAAAACTCAGTTACAAATAACACTTCTTCAAGGAGTGAATCACCATGTCCAAGACTCAATGAAATCTAACACCACGAACTAAACGCAACCAAATGATATCGATAGAGGTAGAGTCGATATGTCAACATGGAAAACCCATGTAAGTCTAACGACACGATCCTCCGCAACA